TACTTCAGGCTGGTATTTCTACAATGCTATCACTTCAGCAAACAAAGAGCTCCCTTTTCCAAGGCTTTCGAGATACCACACCTAAGCAGGAGGCTTTGCTCAAAAGAGTGACACTGAATTAGTGTGAATCTTTGCCTCACGGCAATGTTTTGCTTGCAACTTATAGATCTTCCTTCATTGGACTTACTAATAAAGGTAAAATGTAAAACAAAACACAGCATTAATTAATGAAGATGGCATTTTTAAGCGCTGCTGCTCAGTACTCATGAGAATTGCCACAGCAGCCCCTTGTGCTACTGGTTGAGAACTAAAGTGCCAAATCAGAAACAGATGCTGGACATCTCTTTTTGCCTAGGCCATCTGCATGCTAGAGTTGGCAACAGGCCTAGAGGAAAATATCCTGTCCCTTTAACACAGGTTTAATAGGCTGTTATTTACGTTCCATACCATGAAAAGCTCCCATTGCCCGTATCCACACACTAAGCTTCCATTAAAGGGACAAGCCATTTTTCTCCAGGCAACCCTAAACCATGCTAGTCCTGCAGTGGATTCTAGATCAACCCACACATGATGCTGTGAGTTCTGTAATTCAGGCTCCCAAGCAAAGGGTGGAGAGTGGGGAGAGAAGGGAGCTCAGACATGGAGTCCACCCTCCAAAGAGGTCATTTACTCAAGAGAACTGATTTGTGTAGTCTGAAGGTCAGTTGCCATTCCAGCAAAACTCCAGGCCCCTACCTGGAGGTTGGTAACCCTAAGAAGGAGGGGGCTTCCTTCCATCTCCTCTTGCTGTGTTCCCAACCTGAAACAGCAACTGTGGAGTTGCTATGTGCCCTGTCAGGATAAATATACAAGCACTGTATTTGCCATGTAATGGAAGTACATTTTTCATATACCTGGATTAATTTATCAGATAAAGCACTGGATGTATACCTACCATGAAGCACGGAGACAGACAGGTCTTGGTTTCAGTTCAGCTGACATTGCCCAATGCTACAACTCAGTAGAAGGAGGTCATGCTGCAGTTAGGTTCAATTCAGAATCATGGTCTTTGGAGTTTTACTTCAGAGGGCTCATTTGCACAAGTATGCACAGCTATCAATTCAGGATTGTGAACTAGGTCAAACCAGAATGGCAGCACACTGATACACCCTAGTACTTGCCAATTGGCCCCCGGGGGCTGACATCAAGTGCTGATCAGAGTGTTGATATTATATGGATCAATGCTGCTTATCGGGCAGCAGACTACATTCCATGTCCTTGGCTGCAAATGGATTGTATGAAACTAACCAAAGGGAGAATGTTTTTTTGGAACTGAGCTTAGCATAGTTTTGCATGCACCAGGCCAGAGCTAAGCTGACTTGTGGCTTTTGTTCTAATATGGAGAACACAAGACAGGAACAGAAAAAGGTCTCTCACTTAGCACAGTATTTTACTAGTTCTCAGTATTAGGGAATGCATAATTTAAAATATACATGTATTTGAATAAATTAGTTCATGCAAATGAACAGTGGTATTTCTATGAATTTAGGGAAGCCGCAAATCTTCATCTGTTTATCCAATAGCACCTTGGACAAGAGTCTCGAGAGACCGCTTTTAAAAGCATCCCAGTACCTCAAGATGGTCTCAAGAGGCATCCATAATTCAGATACAAAGCATTTATTTAAAAACATCAGACCATCACACTAAATATATCCCTGATCTCTCACACAGTCCACAGGTGATGAAACCAGTTAAGAAGTACGGTGTGAAAATTATTTTGTACATATTGATTATGACATTTTTAAAAATGAAATAAAATTATGTACAATACCATGGCTTTGCAGAAGTCTCTTCATAGATCTAGTACCAAACTAAAGGATTTAAATCCATAAACCACAAGTACACAGATAATTCTGTTTGTGTTTTTCCCCATCGTATTTATCATAAAATCTACTACACTCATACTTCTAAAAGCCAAAGAATGGAAGCTCAATTTAATAACCAAGCTTCTGATGTTCTTGGATTAATAAGACATGCCGGAAGCTTTATAGTAATTGCAAGGCAAGAGAGAGGCTTCAAAATGCTGCTGTCAACCCCTACACAGACTCCTTTAGCTCACACAGCAGAAGGAGCTTGCCTTCTGGGTAAAAGTGTGGTCCCCATTAATAAGCCACAACAGTTGTATATATACTGAATAACTTGTTACCAGGAGGCCAAGTGAATGCCTTTTGCATGCTTATATGTATTTTAGAAATGCATTCAGCTATCCCCTTTAGAAAGGAAGGTGGCATGCTTAAAGATCATTACACTGATATTTTAAAGATAAAAACTAGATGGGACATATTTAAGCCCTGTAGGTCTCACTTACATCCTGAAAAATCTTTATTAACATATTTTGTTGAAGAGCATCCACAGAGGACTCCTTCTATGTATCCGGAAGCAATTCTCACCAAGTTCAATAGGGTCTATTCCCAGGCACATAACTTGGAAGCAAGTCCCAGTGAACATAATGGGGCACACCTCCAAGTAGACATGATTAGGATCAGGGGTCATTTCGTAGAAAAAGCGATGCAGGAGCTCATTAGCATAACTTATTTGCATAACTTATTTGCATATGCCACATCCCCTGACATCACCAGAAGTGTGTTGGAAGGCAACACCCACTGCTCAGGCTCCACTGGACTGTTTTGGATTGCTAGCTATTGGGGGGGGGGAACGTGCAGATCTGTCCTCGCAGAGGAGGGAGAGCTTGTACCTGAATAAAACTTGGTCTTAAAGATGCCACTGGACTGTTTTGGATTGCTAGCTATTGGGGGGGGATGCGCAGATCTACCCTCACAGAGGAGGGAGAGCTTGTACCTGAAGGCGGGCCGGGGGGGGGCTCTGCAACTTACCTGGCTGCTTCTTGCTCCTCGTGGCCCGACTGAGGGCTGCTGGGAGCAGGGCTTGTTGCATGTGCCCGCCCCCTGGGCTCCTTACTGCCGGAGCTCCGCTCCTGTGCGCTCCCACATGAAATGACCCCTGATTAGAATCAGGCTGTAGCTCTGATGCCAAGGTGTGGGGACTGTACCATCTCAGACTTAAGACGGGTGCTGTCGTGACTGAACACTCTTCCAAAGCAAAATAAATCACCTTCACATAGGCCCTTTCCAAACTGCATTTGTATTCCGTTTTAGTAACTGGTTGCTAATGTTTTTTTCCTGTCATCTCAGAAAGACTCATTTTAGTAACCAGCTGCTAGCAGAATTTATTTACCCATTCATACAAACCCGCTTGCATCAGGTTAGCAAAGTGTGGTTGAGCCACTTTTGAGGGAAACTGCTTTCTTTCATTTTCAACCCCTTTGTCGCACTTAAGGTTGCCAGGTCTGGGTTGGAAAGTACCTGGAGACTTTGAGGGTGGATCCAGGAGAGGGTGGGGTTTGGGGAGGGGAGGGGCCTCAGCATGGTACAGTGCCTCAGAGTCCACCCTTCAAAGCAGCCATTTTCTCTAGGGGAGCTGATCTCTGTCCTCTGGAGATCAGTTGTAAAAGCGGGAGATCTCCAGGCCCCACCTGGAGGCTGGCAATCCTAGTTGTACTTCTGAATTGCTGTGGTGTTCTGTTTAAAATGCCGGTAGTGCTTCTTACAATGCCGCTTCCCTCCTTTTTAGATGCACCATCTTCTTCTGACTTTTTAAAATGTTACAATGTGAGCAATATACCACTAAACTGCTATAGCAGTTTAACGCCACAGCACTCACATGGGAGCTCCCGGCCGCTGCCAAAGGTAATGGGGCCGGGGGCTGATTTGCCCCCGCGGGGAAGGCGGGGCAAGGCAGCGTCCCAGCACAGAGGGCTGGGACGCAGGGAGGGGGCGGAGCCGGCCAAGCTAGGCAAGGCTCCGTCCACACCCTCCCTTTGTTCATTGCAGCCTCGTGCTCGCCCGCCCGCCCGCCCGTTTATGCTAGTGTAGGCTGAAGCTGGTCGCCCAATTGGGGGCCGGGTAGGAATTTTTCGCTATCACCCAAGATTGGCAACGAGGGTGGTAGTGTTTTCGCCTACCTTACACTGGATCGATTGAAGTAGGGGTAAGGGCGTGGCTGTAGTAAATAGGTCGGTCACTTTGGTAGAGGATGGCAGGGATAAGGCAGCGGAATTGGTGAGCACCTTAAGCCGTCCCGTCTTTCGGGAAATGGGGGGTCTTCAGGAACGACTTGCGGGCTATTAAGGCCCCGGGTGGGGAATGGGGACCCCCTAGGGGAGCCTCTGGGGTAAAGCTCCTCTCTGCAAGCTGTAAGGTTTCAGGGGTAGGCGCTCCCGGGAGGCGACCCGCGGCTGGGCTGCTGGTCGCAAGCCAGGCTAATGGCCCAGGACCGGGGTTGGTGCATCGCCCAGATGTATCAGACAAGGAGGCTGGTCAACTTGACAACTGCCTTGTCTGTAGGGGGGGGGGAAGCAGCACTGTATGAAATGACCATAGGGCTTCAGAGACTGCTCATTAATGGAAGGAAATTCAATGTATGAAACCCCCGTCCCTGTATTGCTTTATCCGAAATCGGGCCAACAACGAATAACATCGGGTTTAGAATGGTAATGTGAAAAGGGCCATAGACAGTGCATGTCTGGGAAAAGACTGATTTAGATCCTTTTCCCATGACATCCTAGTTTCTATGAGCTGGGATCAGCTTCTGTATGGAGAAGTATTCAATCATGTCAGCCTATTTCTAAGTTTGAAATGGTACAGCCCAGACACAGGTTTACCGCCTAGCTAAGAGGAACAGGAGTTCCATACATGTTACTTGTGTTGTGTTTCTGGATTTATAAACTCACTCTTCATTTAGCAGAAGTACTCTCATATTCTGTTTTACCTCTTCAAGTTCCTTTTTTAAAATCTGGTAATTATTTACAAGGATGTGAAGTAACTCTGAGATTGGGGATTTGGTACAGAGAGAACAAATTCTTCTATGGTTTCAGGGTTCAGTGGTTTCAGCTGATTCAGAGCTCACTTGCCACTGCCACAGTCTTAAGGACAAAAGCAGAACAGCTCATGTGCTGGCTTTGCTACAAATAGTCCCCTGGCTAATGCCATTCTCTAGGTATTGACTGGAAGAATCTATGCTCCTGCTGAGCACTGTGGAAGGGATCCTGGAAGAACGTCGCTCCTGGTTCTTCTCCTCAATTAAGCAGCAGATCATGCGCCTCATGGTACTGGACATCTCGTCGTCTTTGTAAGAGTAAATAATCGGGTTCATGACAGAGTTCAGCAGAGCCAAGAGAAGGAACCATCTCTTTACATTCTGAACCTCACACTGAGCGCAATTCAAGCCATCAAGGAGCAAAACTACGAGGCCAGGAGTCCAGCACACGACAAAGGCACCTAGGAAAAGGGGTGAAAAGGGAGAATTAGGGGGGGTGGAATCAAGCCATAATTATATCTGCACAGGGCTTTTTTTGTAGAAAAAGCCCAGCATGAACTTATTAGCATAATAGGCCACACCGAAGAGCAGAAACTCATTAGCATATTAGGCCACACCCCTGACAGCACAGCTAATTAGCATATTAGGCCGCACCCCCACGTTACCAGAAGTGTGGTCATCCAGCCACACACACCTTTTGCTTCTTATTCTGTTTACCTTGTTTGTTGTCAAAACCCAGAGCTTTTTTTGTAGCAGGAACTTCTTTGCATGTTAGGCCACACACCCCTAATGTAGCCAATCCTAATGAGTTCCTGCTGTTGGGTGTGGCCTATTATGCTAACAAGTTCCTGCTGGGCGTGGCCAACTCGGGAGCCAGATGGAATTCCGTTCCTGTGCGTTCCTGCCCAAAAATAGCCCTGTGCCTGCATAATCCTTAACAGCATTTCTTCAACCTGTAACATTTCAACCTGTAAACATTACAAAATGGATAGGTTTAAGACAAGCAAAAGAAACTTCTTCTAAGTCCAAAGGGAGGGAAGGCCAGTACCTAGAGAGTTACCAACCACAAGGTGGGGTTTGAAGTTCTCCAGGAATTACAACTCATCTCCAGCCTGGACATCAGTTCCTCTGGAGGAAATGGCAGCTTTGAAGGGTGGACTCTATAGTATCACATCCCTGCTGAGCTCCCCACGTCTTCCAAATTCTGCCCTCCCCAAGCACCACCCCAAATCTTCAGGAATTTCCCAAACCCCAAGTTGGCAACCCTGCCAGGAAACATTCCATCATGCTTGTGTAAACCTCCCTCCCTCAGGGAACTGGGTGGTTTACAGTGCAATCCTAAACAGAGCTACACCTAGTCTTATCAACCTCCTGGTGGGCCTGGAGCTCTCCTCAAATCACCACTGAACTCCAGATGACAGAGTGCAATTCCCCTGCAAGAATCAGAAGCTTCTGAATGCAGACTCTATGGCACCATATCCTTACATAGCTCCGTGCCCGCCCCCCTCCCCAGGTACCATCCCAAATCTCCAGAAATTATCTGGCAACCCTTCTAAGCCCACTGACTACAACAGATGAAGTAAGGCAACTGCAGTGTTAGACAAGCACGGGGAGAGTAAGTGAATGGAGGCATCTGTTTTGCTGGGGAACTGGCTAAGATTTTCTGAGATCTTTAACACCTTGTATAAAGGTTATTTGTTGTTCCAGTTTCTGATTGCAGCCAGCCACCAATGGTCCATTCTGCACCGACAGCTTACTCCGGAGAATCCAAGCGTGGATTTGTGTGCCTGCCCTCTGCACTACCTTTCCCCCTCCGGCTTATTTACTTCGTATTCTGTCTATACATTCTGCATCCACAACCCAAACCCACATTTTTTTTGCTCCATTGGGTTGATCACATCACCTGTGATGTGTGTAGGTGGCGTCCAAATTGTCCTATGGCAGCCACGCAGTAATGTCCAGCCCCCCCCCCCCCCAAGCAGGGTCACACCTTCCACTCTGGGCCAGTCCGGCTGGGAACGGGTGTGTGAGGGCTGGTTTACACGCCTAAACCCAAACAGAATCCAACCAACTGGGCCCACCTTGAAGCCACCACCTGCCTCAGGGAGTGGAGTGACAAGAGGCAGCATGAGCAACACCTCCTCCTCTCACAGGGATGGCCTCCTCTGGCCCTCCCTCTGCCTTATTCCCCTCCCCCCCGAAGTTCCTGAGGGAAAGGCTTGGTGGCAGTGTTCCCTCTAAGCTGAGTTAGTGTGAGCTAGCTCAGAGTTTTTTAGCCTCCAGCTCACACATTTTTGTCTTAGCTCAAGAAGGATGGCTCCAGACTAAACCAATTCATGCAGTAGCCAAATGGCTCGCTCACAACTTTAATGCCAGTAGCTCACAAAGTAGAATTTTTGCTCACAAGACTCCACAGCTTAGAGGGAACATTGCGTTGGTGGCACAAGTCTGCACACATCACACACTATTACACAAACAAAAAAAGAGTAAACAATCCCCCCATATATAAGTACCACACGCATCTAACCCAACCTTTTATTTCCTCCCTCCCTCCCCTCCCTCTTTCCCTCAGCAGCAGCTGGAGGAGTTGTCAAACCTGGATGCATGTGCATGGTGAGACCTGAGCAGGATATAGTATCACAAAGGCCACTCCCAAAAGCACCCATTTTCTCCAGGGGGACTGATCTCTCTAATCTAGAGATCAGTTGTAATTCCAGGAGATCTCCAGGCCCCACCTGGCAGTTGGCAACTCTACCTGAGAGGTTCAGCTGATAGATAGTTCCTGGTCCAAGGTCTCCCAGACCCTAGTCCAGCACTCTAACCACTACACAAATATAAAATAAACATTAAAATCAGTAAATTGTGCACACAAAGCACTAAGTTTAGTTATGGAACTCACTGCTGCAAGAGGTGCTGGCCACTGTTTCAAGTGGCCCTCTGTTCCCACTGTATACGTCTCCTTATTAAAAACCATATGAAGCTGAACACTTCACCAGTACTGATGGAGGAACTCTGCCAATGCCCTACAAGTGTGCAGGAGGGATGGAAGGATGGTTCCTAACAACCCTGAAGAAAAACGACCTGTCTCTTTACCAGGATGTTTACCTCCATGCCATAAAAACTTTCAGTTGCCTGTTTTCACACATGACATATCTATTATTAAAAGGGGGAGGACATTTTTCTCCACACCAGTTGGCATCCCTCAATTGTGCATGTGGCGCACACACAAACACATACCATTCACAACTGCCAACTTCAATAATCAGGAAGGGATGATATTTAGGTCATCCTTTAGACCATCCTTGGCCTTCCTCCATCAAAGATCTCTCCTAGTGCCTCCAGAGTTGCTTTTTAACCACTTCCTTTAAAGCACACAGTAATTGGTTTCTGCCTCCCGCAGGCATTGCCCTGTGATGACATCTCCAACCGGCCGCCTTGTTTCAGTAGTGATGTGGGACAAAAAGGAGGAAAGGAGATTGGAGAAAAGGAGAAGCAAGTCTACAGTGCCCATCCAAGCAAGGGAAGAGCAATTCTCCTCTTCTCTGGGCAGACCCGTCATGCATCCCCAGTGTGCCAAATGGAAGAGCTAAGCCAGCAGCGTATCACCCATGCTCCCCTCAACAGCAGCACTTCCCATGTGTCATTCTGTGCTTCTCAGTGCAATAAAGCAGAGAAGCTGCTCACAAACCAACATGTACTTAGCTGAAGCCACAATTGCTACTTGGCATACAAAAATAGAAAATTACAGCTCTGCACAGAAAAGGAAGATAGTAGAAGATACTTGGCGGAAATGCTGCTCATTTATTTTAAAAGCATACACTTTGGGAAGCCCCCCTTTCCAGGCCTCCAAATAAGTAAGTATTCCAGCAATTATGCCTATGGAACAAAGGAAGCACTTCGCTGGTGGTCTGAGAATAATGATTCAAGCATCTTTCAAAAGTAGCCTTTTCTAGTATACAGACCATAATGTATCGTACTACTCTGTAAACATGAATCTATATGGGATATTCAGCTATGGACCACAGATCAAATCCCAACTCAGCCATGAACTTGCTGCTCTTTGAAGAAGCTCTTGTTTCTCAGCTTCACTGCCCTGCCTGTAAAATGGGAATAAGAAGAAGTCCATTCCGATCAAGGCTATGTGAATCCCACTGTTGTGCTCCCACTGCATGAGCACTGAAAGTGGTCTCTGGCACCAAATTTAGCCTCACCTTGAAGGACCTGTGCAGAGGTTCAGTAAAAGTGCACCACATTTTAGACACTGTGAGATGTTCCAATAAAGGGCAACTATATTGTATGTAGTCCACACGGAGGGGTGCATATGGGGTTAACTATGCTGTGGAGTGACGGGAAGAGACAGGAGACTGTCATTCACTGTTTTTAAGTTGCTGAGTCAGCTCTGGTATGTAGGGACTGCACACACCTTACTAAAAACTTGCACACACATGAAGCTGTCTGATGCTGATTCAGACCATTGATCCATCAAGGTCACTTCTTTCTACTCAGACTGGCAGAGGCTCTCCACGGTTTTAGGCAGAGGACTTTCACATCACTTACTGCCTTGTCCTTTTAACTGGAGTTGCTGGGGTTTGAACCTGGGACCTTCTGCATGCCAAGCAAATGCTCCACCACTAAGCCACAGCCCCCTCCCCTGTGTGTGTGGAGGAATCTAGAGAGATGCTGAATGACAGATATTGCTGAATGGGAGGCTAGCCTCATATTTTTGCAACTATATGAGCATTTGGGTGATTTATGGCACAACAGAGGAAATACTCTGCCCTAAAAGATACACATGCTAAATTTTAACAGTCCTCACAATGGCACAGATGAAAACTTCTGGCATATGTGAAATCACAGACAGAGTCCAATAGATGCCTATCACACTCACATATGATGCCAGTTTAAGAGAAAAAATGCAAACAAACTTGGTCTGCAGTTCTGACTGTATGCTACGTTGCTCAGCATTAGGTCTCATTTTCTTCAGACCAGAATGATTTGATCTGGATAGCCTCTCAGAACCTAAAGAATGATGAAGGGCTTGAAAGAAGATCAGCAAGTAGGAAGCGGTCCTGACAAGACTTCAGAGGTTAATTATTTGGAAAGGAAAAATCAGTGGAAGAGGGGAATGTGGCTGTTCAGAAAAGCTGCAAGTTGGCAGCCACAACATGAGTAGCTCAGAACTGGACAAAAGCAATGAAAACCACAAACAGAATAATGGCTGTGTAAGATGTGGTATATTATGTTACTGAACAAGGTGACAGCACCCAGCCATCTTTGGGAAAGAAAAGCATTTACACAAGAACCATTTATCAATAACTGGCAACTTTTTGTTCTACACTGGAACAATGTTCTAGTGGATAAGCATGTAAGAGAAGAAATTTTATACTATGTCTAACTGACTAGATGGGGTGCTTATAGAATGGTCTATTGTCCATTTAATTTATGTAATCTTTTATATTTA